TACGTACATGCTGACCTCTGCAAGCAGTGAAAAACCACCCTGGATTCAGACTTCCAAGAGAAGGCTCAACTCCATCTTGTTAAGATTCCCGCACCTTCAACAGGGTGGACAGGACCCCAGATGAATAAAGCCAAGCTCAAGTTGCCCTCATGTAGCCACAGGGAGGGGAAAAAAGCAGCTTTCCAACCCAATATTTACCAGCGCAGCTGTAAACTAGCAGGCATCTCCACATTTGTGCCAGTTCTGGTTAAAGAATAAACCCTACCCACTCTGATGTAAGTCTGGAGTATATCCAGTGTAATTTGTGCATTTACAGGCCTGATACAAAAAGCTCCAAGATGGGGATGAGGACAGACATAGTATATAACTACTTTGAGCATTGCACATTTATTTATTTAGATCCCGTAAACACCTTCCAGATAATTTTGATACTATAAATGTGACTTCTGCCACAACTACCAACACTTTTAGCCTAAGACTACTATTGCTCTTACTTCCAGGTGCAAAAATATGAACCTGTCGTAACAAATTTTGAAGTTTATTATATTCTGGTAACTATTGGACTGCTACTAACTATACTCTTAGAAGGTGACTTGACAAAGAATTCAATAAACAGCATGAACTAGGTTGTAAAATGCCAACCAGCAGTTTATCGTGATTGCCAGTAGGAAGGCAGGTGCGTGATGGTCTCACCGACAGGCCCACCTCCACTCATGCAGAAAGGCAGACTAGGGAGGATGATGAGGTGCCTTCCTCTTCCTGCAGCCACCATCCTGCCCCCTTGAAGATAATCTGTGGGTGGACTCATCTAACTGGCCTTGCACATCTGTCTGGCACACAAAGTTTAGATGTTGTCAAAGGAGCAACAGCTTCAGGGATTATCCCCGCCCAGCTCAGTGGTGAGGGCTCCGGGGAGTGGGGATGGGCTCTCCTCCTGCTCTCTCCGATGCCGGCACCTGTAGGTGGCAACTGAGACTCCAGCAGTTGTGCCTGCAAGGCTGCGTGCTGCCTCGCACACTGGGTAAGTGGGAAACGAAGGGCTGTGAGAAATGAAACTTGTACAAACAAGTCTCCTCTAAATGTTAGTTTAGGGCATAACTGCACAAGTGTGGTTTGTTAGCCTTTAACTAGGACTCTAAATGTTTGCCTTCAGTTCTTCTATGTCAAGAAACCTTTAATGAGGATAGAATAAATGGTGTTTTGCTGCCCATAATCACCGATAATACATCGGTGGTTATGCTGCCCATAATCACAGATGATATATCAGCCAGTGGAAAACCTGGCAAGAAAATCAGGGCAATATGTATTGCCTGTATGTACGCTTGAGCAACCATAGTATTTCCTCTCTAAAAATGTACAGCAGGATTAATAGGATGGAGGAACATACAAAAGGAAAGGATGATTGAACAGTGAAGTCCCCAACCCATTGCTGAATTGGGGTAAAAGGCAGCAATGAGTTCCACTGACACCAATTCCAGAGCAGGAGATGTAGTTTGCAGACCCAAGACAGAGTCCTCATGACCCCGAACTTTCACCTTCGTTCAAACAATGGCATTGAGCACCAAGGCACTAAGGAGGTGCTCAGTCCAGAGCTGTTCTGCCAACCCATCCAACCTGGATTTCTTCATCCCAGTGGAGGAGGGATAAACCCTTGTTATCAGCATGAGTGGTAAATCTTAAATGCTATCAGAAGCGAGCATTCAAAGACAGTGAAACATTAGCTTCAGGCAGAGAACACAGCATCTCTGGCTATTAATTCTTAGGTGCAACAGCAAATACTACGACTGCTTAGTCTCTCTGCTGGGGTGTTATTCTTCCTCTGGAGATGGGGCACCATAAACAGCCACAGCGTTTACCTCCAAATGGTGAAGCAGTTGAGGAGAGCCTTAAACTACTCCCTTGTTTGAGATACCTTGCAAAACCTACGGCAAAAACTTGGCAAGATAAACTCTGATGCTGTGGGATTTATTCTTTGAATACTTCACTTTGTGTCTTGAAACAGACTGGGCCTTAATGTTGGATAGCTCAACTGTGTATTATAGTTCAAGGCAGCAACTCTGTTAATGGCAAAATAGCACAAGGATTGGGCAGCAGGTGCTTGTACCTTCCTCACCCCCTGGCCTTCCCTGTGTGGGATGAAAGCAAGGGTTTTGGTTAGGACAACGTGAGGGATAATGCGTCAAGGTGCTGCTGCAGCCCTGCAGGTTGTTTGTTGCAGTACTCCGACAGGAACAGGACTAACCTCCACATTCCTAGAACTGCAAGTCGTGAGTCCAAGACAGATAAAAGGTTTCCGGAAGGAAGTCTCAGCTGGTAGCTAGGCAGAAAAATCCAGTAAGATCAGCAATCAGAGGTTAAATGCTACTGGTCTGAGGTGTGCTATACTATTCAAGCCTACACTAGTTAAAAATACGCTTAGGGACCAGTGATGGTTTAAAAAAAAAAATTAAATCACAATACCTCTTTACCTGTTGTGAATGGGTCAGGGTGAGAAGTGAAAGCTTTGTGCTAAAGGATCTCCACTGGCATGCAGACAAAGCTGACATCATTGGCTTTAAAATTCCATTCTCCCAGCAGTCATAAAGCAGGTTAAATAAACTGGCAATGGTATACTGAGTGTCTACTGCCTTGAAAGACAAGGAAAATAAACATTAATGCTAGGTGTACTAGAACTTCTACACATCTAAAGCATTAAAACTCAGTCCAGGGAAATTCAAGAGAACTGCTAGAGGTAATCACCAGGAATTAATCTAATGATATCACGTGGTACCTTTTGGTGAGCCACATTTAAACATTTCAGCAGATCAGGATATTATTATGGTTTCTAAACCAGTATCAAAGAAATGTTCTTTGACTTTTTTTTTTAAAAACACGTACACATGGTTCTGGAGAGCTCTCTGACCTTCTCCATAGTTGGGTGAATTTCTGAATTTGAACACTTACTGAGTAACTGGTCAGAACTGTCTGGACAAGAACTTGCAGCTTCCACTTAAAATGTTTTCTCTACCACTCTGCATAAACCTTCTGTTCAGCTCATATTGGAAACTGATGTTCTGTTCCCCCCAAGCCCCCTCAGCACTGGGCAGGAGAACATAAATGCTGCCCCAGGTACAGTACCTGGCCTCAAACTACGCACACAGTAGGTACCAAGGCTAGTCTTTGTTTTACTAGATGCTATCACAATCTACATTTTCCTTCTTTGCAGACAAACTGAAGTAATCTCAATTTTCAATGCACAGCAATAAAAAACTAAACATTTCTTTAATACAATTATGGTATCACTTCCAAGGATATTTACAAACAAGGCTAATTATTTTACAGCTGAATGTGCTTCTGCTGTTCTAGACTACTATATTAATATTATTTTCAGTCAAAGCACTATCATGCTTAATGCATGAAACACCGATTAGTAAGGACAGCTGACTTGTTTTCACATTAGCTGAAAAAAATTTGCTCCTACTGAAGGTGAAGGAACATTAAGAAAATATGCATAGTCATTAAGTCAAGGAAACTTAAGCACCAATCCACACATGCATTGTTGGAGACTGATACTGTCAGGACAACTCCGTGATTTCTCAACTAGCTATAGAGGACTTCACACACAGTTAGAAGTGTCATGAATCACAAACAGGGCAACACATCTGAGTGTCCAGGCTGGTACTCTGAGGAATGTAAATACATAAACTTTGGGTTATTTGACAACATGGATTAAAGTTAACAAGACAAACTGTACCAAATAACCATACACATTTTGGAGGAATTATTCCTCTTAACACTGCATAGGAAGTTGAAAAGGAATCTCCTGCTCCCCAAAGGAACTAGATACCAAAGAGAGAGAAAGACCTTTTTTTCTGACAGGACAGTTAGAAGGCAGAATAAATTTCTGGGCTCAGACATGCTACATCACTGGTGTATTTGTGAATCTCTTGATGAGAAAGTCAGGGTTACACAAGAGCAGTTTCACCAGACTCCATGACACTTGTGGAGACTTCACCTATAACTTCTTAGCCATGGTGGGGTTTGGGTGGTGGGGATTTTTTGCTTTTTTTTAACTGCATTATTATGAAAAGAGAAACCGTCAGCTGGGAGTGATTACCTTTGTGTGAAACTTCTGTGAACCTCAGTTTCTGTATAAGAGAGACTCTCGATTCTATTGAAAAATAAGGTAAATTGGTAATGTTTTTGGTAACTGAGTTACACTGGAAAAAGATGATTCCTGTCGGTAGAGCGTTAAGTGAAACAAAAGGCATATACATTGCCAGAAGCAAGGAAGCGATTAGAACTTAGTTCAGAAAAAGAAAGTGGGGCAAGAGACTTAAGAGCATTGGAAATTATATATACATATTAGTGTTTAATCTAATTGCTATTAGTTTAATAATTATTACATTTAAAATTATTCTTACTGATCCATATTTGACCCAGGCAGCCAATATTACCCTTGTGACTGCAATACTGTTATAACAGTTAAGAGGCAGTAATTCTTCTAGACTTTAAGTGAAACAAATATAATGGCCAATTTCTTTCATATGGCTGTAACTGGCATACGCTTCACTCTGCAAGAAATTAGAACCACAAATTATTTTGATAGTTTAATATTCTGCAGCAAGTGCCAGTGCTTGTTAAAAAGCAAACGAGAGCACTACACGCTGAAGCCTTTTCTACCCACCAAGACCATTCAAGAGGCAGCTCCGCTGTTCCCGTCCTAGCTTTTGGGAAATCGCACAGTTGTCGGGCAGAAAGGACAGTTCTCACTGTGTGCCTATGACTTCAGTTCCTTTTCAGTAAAAGGAAGCGTGTCCAACTGCTGATGCTTCAATGGGGTGCATTTCCAAACCACTTTATAAACTCGCTCTTCCAGATGTACTCTTGTTTCTGGAGCATGGAACGGGCTCTGGACTTAGGGAGTTTCTAGAATCTCCAATGTTCTATTTACAGGATTGTGGACAATGTCTTCCCTCTCCAGTAAAGTCTGTATTCCTGTGCTTGACATCCTTCCAGACTGAAGGGAGCTTATGCAGTAGAGAAAATACTTTCAGTTTTTACATAGCTCTTCTCTAGAACACAGGAGAATCGCAGAACGTGCAAGGTCCTTGCAATAACCTCTTGATCCATTCAGGATCTGCAAATAAGAAAACAAGTTGTTTAAAACTGGAAGTAGCGATGAACACAGGAATGACGCCCGAGGTGGACGAACTGAATAGTAATCCTGAGACAGTTTGTACATATTCACCATGCAGGATTAAGTGAGAGTTCAGAAAGAATACAACTTTATTTCTGGCTAGAAATTTCAAGTAATGCCAGTTTGAATTCTGCTTCAGTAGGGGACAAAATTAAGGTGAAACAGTCCATGCTATATCATTACATACTCATCTAAATAGCTACATAGGAGAAAAATTTAAAGGATCACCATGCCATAAATGTAGTGTTCTCATTTTTTTAACTGAAATTAGATCCTTCACATAATGCAGTCCTTGGTTCCTGTTTCTTTGTCCCTCTCCGGTATAAGGAAATTAAGTTTACAGCCTCGCTCTACAGAGGTTTAAGTTATGTAGTTGATACTTAGTGCTGACTGGAATACCCACATATTATGGGGAGAAGAAAAGTATCACCTACACTTTAAGACAACTTGTTAGTACTCCACAATTTTTTTTTTTTAAGTGTACCAGTTGGGAAGAAAACAGTTTTCTTGTACAGCTTGTCCTTCCTCAAACTCTGAAAATGCAAAGCCAAAATGTCGACTGGCCCCCACTGCCGGCCATTACTGTCTCTGAGTGAGGTACTTAACAGCAGTTTGGGACCAAAGCCAGCAAGGTGCCAACTATTTCTTAACCTGCGCTGGATCAGTGCAGCTCGCACTGAAATAGAAACCTTCATCACTCGCAGAACTGGATCCTAACATATTCAACTTGAATATAAGCTAACGGTTGTAGCACTCCAGCACAGACAACATGTTTACCCAGGTCTCATTAAAATGCAGTATTTACCAATTAATTTCTGCAGTCACTATTTTGTAATTAACGTAGGCCACTAATGCGTGGACAACACCACCACACCATGAAATGCTGAGTACTAGTACTTCACACGATAACTGCCTAAAAGAGAAAAGTCAGTGAAACTAATTCAAGTCATTTTGCAGGTAAAACTCAAGATGACATAATCCTGACCCTTTTGCCCACAGAAACAGTTTACCTTCTGGGGTCGGATGCCGTGCAATGCTGTCGTGAAGCAAACACCTCCTGTATACCAAACTCTGACAGGACTGGTAGGTTAGAAAGCACCTGTGAAAGGACAAGGTGTTTTATCAAAAGGCTTCATGTTTTGTGACCTGCTCCTGTGCCCTGGGTTGAGGGTTGCTGCACAGGGGAAGAACCACAGTGTCATTAAGGCAATGACTATTTAGCCAAACTAGCGCATAAGATCTTTTAGGCAAAGGTTTTTCTTTAAGTCACAGACTACTGACCTGCCAATTCTCCTGGGAAAATCTGTACCCAATAAATCAACATGGGAAGATTTCCTTTTCTAGATATTCCAGAATGTGTCTGACTTCTCTGTGTAGTTGTTTCCAATCATTCTTTGTTAAATTATTTTGTTTTCAAATGCTGAAGTAGCTAGAACAAACTCTCCTTCATATGCTGTTCCAAAGCATGGCTTGTGCTTGACTTTCCCACAGACACACTTTCCCCCTACCCTCTCCCTCCTGCTGCTTGAAGAAAAAAAGATTATCAAATGTGGTTTATTTTGAAAACAGTGTACTTGTAAGAGAACCAAACCAAATCCAGAACGCCCTCTCTCTCAGAGGAAGAGACCAGGTAACAGCAATTAACTGCAGCATGGGTAACATGCTTCGTGACTGTCACTAGAAAGGGTGCTAGGTTAGCTATTTAAATACGTTTAAAATCGTCAGAGAGACGGCAAAAATTCTTTAGGAACAGATTACCTGAGCCAAATATGTCCATTAGAGCAGACTGCCTGTTTGCGATCGGTGAACGGCAGGATCTCTTTACACAAGCTGCAGTGCTCTGGAAAAGTCTGTTTGTTCATTTTCTTTAAGATATGCCCAATCAGCACCTGGGAATACACAGCAGTCAGCATCGCTTACAGCAAGGCAGCTGCCTACTGAAGGGTGGAAACATCTCTCAGGATATTGTGATTTCAGAGTATGATACAGGATGCAAAGATCTATCCACCTCACTGAATAAAAATAAATGTACACATAAGAAATATAATGCATTGATATGTATTAATTTATTCTCATTTTGTCATGTCCTAAAGATTTCTGTCCTATAGTAAAGGGATACAGAACTTAAGAGCAACGGTGTTATATTAAGCTACTTGCAAGTTTAAAAGGTACTGAAGAAATTGGTATTATACCACTTCAGAGGATGCCACTGATCATTACAGCAACGCTTTCAAGGTCTCAAGCCTATCACAATGGATGTGCTAAAAAAAAAAAATATCTTGTTCAGAAATTACTTGGATGCATGTCTTCAGCAGTCACCTTGGAGTATACATAATGTTTATAGCAGAACATTCATGTGATCAAATTTGCCTTTTACATTTCAATAGATATAAACCACATCCCAAGGACCTTTAAAATGTGACAGCAAACTAATAGATAAAATAGAATTTGGAAGTCAGCTTTTAATCACCATAAAAAGAAGAATCTTGTAAACAAGATAAGAAAAGCAACCTCTCAAACGTTCAATCCGTAGTAATTGGATGCTAGAATATCACAGCCATTCTGCCAGAATACTCTCCTAGGGAATTACTGAGGGTCACACTGTGTGGCCTGCTTGCTTCTAAGTCCAGCAGAGAGAACACCACCCTACATCAGTAAGGGAAATGTGCTTCCTTCCGGATGCAATGTTAAGGTTCATTTTTAGGGTTCAAGTGATTTAAGGATTTAGGTACTGAAAAGAACTGTTCTCTGCTCATACAAAGTGGTAGAGACACCTGAAACAGTCTTGTCTTCAAGACTTAAGAGCTGGGAGGCTGATGGCAGAGCGTTCCCACTGAAGCTTCCTTTGCCTGATGTCTATGTTCAGAAAACTTCATTGCCCAGTGCAAGGTTCACTGATTACTTATTTCCTGTCATAAATACTTGCTCTACACATTGCAATAGTCAGGATACTGTCCTTACAGTTATGCTTTTATTTTGCTAGGGAGTATTGCAAGTTTGGGAAGAGTTCCTATCACGGCCAAGCATTCAGTTACGCTTATTTATTGTAGTTTAATACATGCAAGTGTGCCTGAATGTTCAGGCCAGGTATGTTACAACAAAGATAGTCAGTCAGCTTGGTTAAAGCCCTGCATGAAGTTCTGGACCATGGGATTTAACGCATAAAACACAATCACTTTCTGAACCTCTGTAACTGATCTTTTCACTGGAGGCTCATGGAGCAATGACAAGACCTGATGTATCACCTGAACAGTCACAGTACTTTCAATTATAAATACTTTAAGAAGTGATACTACAAATCTGAATTTTAAAACTGCAGACATAACTGACTACAGGAAATATCTCCTAAATTCAGTTTAGAGATGCTAGATTAAATAAGCTTAACCATGAAAACAAACTTTGCTATCAATCAGTCCACATTCTAAACCCACCAACAGCAGTGGAATAACCATGGTCCTCTCCCTTGTTCTGCAAAAACTCAGGCATGCTTATTCTTTATTGTACCTGATCCAAATTTCAATACCTGTATTTACATTCCTTCCTACTCCAAAATTTCAAGGACTGACAACTTAAGCTGTAAGTTCAACAGAAGCTGACTGGCAAGGATGACATGATTACAGTTCTCTTTCCCACCCCCAAAGCTGTATTTTCATTTAAGGATATGGAGGGGGAGAGAGAAGTCACTTGTAACGCTGAATCCCCAGAGTATAGAGGTGCACTTACTCGTGCTGTTCTGTCATCATAGCCATCATCGGACATTAAGAAGTCACAGACTCCTCTGGTGGGAATACTGGTGTTTTCTGTAATCCATGTGTGTAGATAAACTTCTCCCAGCACCCGTTTCATGTGTTCTCGTGTCAAGTGCATTTCTACTGCCTCAATTTGTGCCTGTATTTCAAGCAGCTTTTCTTCCATTGGCTCATGGCCTCCTACGTCACTCGACTGCGGAAGAGAATCATCTGCAGTGTCATCTATGTCCATACCTTTGCCTGTGTCACATAGGCTCTGCTTGCTGGCTTGTTTAGAAGTTCCTTCCTCTTGATCATCTTCAGTACTGCCCATCCCAGGGGAATCCGATATTAAGATTTTTGCATCCTCGTGTGAAGGTCTCCACATGACCTCTGAGGGAGCTTTCTGCATTGACTGGTACAAAATCCTCAGGAGAAATAGCTTAAACCGCCAGAAGTAAGTAGAACCACAGCTCTCAATCTTTTTGTCCAGTGCTTCCTGTAAGAATTGAGGAATATGCTTATCCTTCAGAATTTTCCAGCGTACAAGATCTGTCAAGTCCACTTGCCGGAAAAGGTTCTGAACAGAAGATTCCAAGAGCTGCGCAGCTGCCTCCTCAAAAGTCTTAAGGGTTACAAACTGAACTTGGTAGTTTTTGTTAACTGGGTGAAGACCGTTAGTCATGCCCTCCGTTGTAATAACTGCTAAGTAAGCACCACACGGGCTAACAGCTATTCCGTGAGTCCTGACAGAGCCAAACACTTCCGAGAGCTTAATCAGCTGGTGCTCAAACTTTAAAGCAACGTCTGTGAATATAGGAATCAGCTGCCTTACCTTTCCATCACTGGAGCACGTATACACCGTGCCATTCTGTTTGTCTGCAGTCATAGATACAATTGGCAAAGAATGAAGCCCTGTCACATGGGAATTATGGACATTCAGACCTGCTTTGGATATCAACAGGAGACACCAAAACACATAAGCTCCTCTTGCAGCCACCACTAAGCTACAACTACATTTCTGGTAGGGGTGGTAAAGAGGAATACATTTGATACTATGCACTGGTAACTGGTCCATTTCTTGCCATAAGACTACAGGTTGTCTCAGAGTAAAGTAGCCTTTGACTGCTTTTAGATTGACAGGAAGGATCTTAACCGGTCCAAATGCACTCCCTACAATAAGTCCACTCATCTTTCGGTTGTTATGTTCATATTCCCACCAAGACAACACACTTGGGGAATTTATTCCAGACTCTATGGTATTGCAAGAAGTAATTGATTCCTTACCCAGAAATGGAAGCTGAAATTGCCAAACTGCAATGTTACCGTTTTCAAAGAGTACTGCTAAGAGCACGCTACCGACATCCCGGCATTCATTGTTGTGTTTAACCTGCTGAGTGGTGCAGATGCCCGACCACTCCATGCGCACTGGAGTCTGCATGCTGTGCCGTCGCTGAAATTCAGGGAAGTCTCCTAGTTCTCCCCTGGGAGTGTCAGCCTTAGAAAGTTTGTAACTGGCTTCATACAAACGCTCCCCATAGATTTCTGTCAGGTCCACCAGCTGCACCCACTGTAGCCTGTTGAGGTTTGCATGGATGGTCAATCGATTGTCCATGGTTAAAGCTGCAAGCAGGCATCTTCCATTGGCATCACAGCCCAGTGGCGACCAGCTGGAATACTTGAATCCTCGCATAGGCGGCAGCGACTTTCCTTCAGGGTTGAATACTCGATCTAGCATAAAAGTTTGACTAACCGTTGGATCCACTGAACTTGCGAACTTTTCCTTACATTCTGCTACCTCCTTTTTTGGACCAACCTAAAAGATAAGAAAAAGAACTTGTAAAACAATTGTAGAACTTTTTCTAAGGAAGACTTTCCTGGAATTAATTTCCAGTTGAAACAGAACATTCTCTATCACTACCTATACTACACTGTTCCAGTGGCTAGTTAACCTCATTCTTAAAGACTTAAGCTTCATTGTTGGCCTGAATTTGTATAGTTTTAACTTTCAGCTACTGAACCTTTGTCTGCCAAGCCAAAGAGCTTGCTTTCATACTTCTGTTCTCCACTGCGTATTTAAAAGTACTTGGCATAACATTCAAACTGTAAAGCACTCCATGTTTCAACTCAAGTTATTCCATATTCTCAGCATGGTTCTGGAAAAAAAAATTTAGATCCACAACAGAATTATTATTTAATACAATATTTACTCAGACTTGCTACTTCTTTGTGCTACGGAGTGTAAAAACTCAGCTGCTCCTACGAAGCCCGAAACAGTCCCCATTGCAAAAAACTTTCAGCTTTGCTAGCAAAGCAAGAAAAATTTCTACTTAAAATTTTACTGAAATAATTGTCATCAAAGTACCGGCGCTCAAGCGATTCTCAGAAAAGCTGCTGAACTTCAGAATCCCTGAAATCCCCCCAATACCAGCTCAGGTCTCACCCTGACATTACTGGGCTGTGCATGTTTTTTCATCCCCTCCGCTTTTAAAACACACCCACGCATCAGATACAGCCTGCACTGTAACAATGCGTGCGCGGGGCAGGAGCGGCCCGGGGCGGGGAGCCAGCCCCA